AATGTATTCTATCCCAAAATCTTGTCACCCCCAAAACTTTAGCAATCTAACACAAAAAATCAATGTGTATAGCACTCAACATTTACCTCATATTAATGCAAAACACCAACTCCACAAGAAAAAAAAGGAAGAAATTGGTGTAGGATTTAACCCGACACCAAACTAAATATAATAGTTGACTTGGGAATCAACTTCATTTAACATTAAAATTTTTAGTTAATTCAATGACTACATGTTAATTGATATATGTTATTTAATTGAATTGTTAAAATGATCTAAAAATTAAAAATTAATATTGTTTTGGATGGAATTCGAGTAAGAATAATACATTTGATTTGATAGATTCGATCAAGAAAAAAATTTTCTACAAAATATTGAATAGAAAGACGAAATATCATAATTCATACCCATAGGATAGGATGAACTAGAGTTACCACAATTTACTAAATCCTTAACGATCTACGATTTGAATACATCGATCTCAAATAGAGTGGGTTTCAGGGCGGATCTACAATAGGGGCAGTTGCCCCCACTACAATTTTAAAAACCTTTGGGATGTATTTAGAATTTTCAAACTTTTAGGATATTGCATCCGCTGAAATTTTGTAAAAGATTTTGGATTATTTATATATATTAAATGTGGGTTGGTCTTTGCCATTTTATATTTTGATAGACATGCAAGTTTAGTAGGGTCCATGTGTCGGCTACTAGTGAATTTGATAACTCTATCCAACTATTGAAACAAAGGCATCCTAGCCGCATATGACTTTCCTTTTGTATCCAAAATATCAAATGAAACCAAAATTTGATTAACTCAAACCAAAATTGCATGGATAGCTAGACTAAGGGATGCACCAAAAATGGTTTGACTTGGGTCGAAGTCGATCACTTTTCGTCAATGATTTCTATTTTTCTCATTTGTATAAATCTCTCTAACTATTCATAGTGTTCACAAGTCATAATTTATATATGGCCAATATGTCGCAAAATTAACATAAAATTAGGGGAGTATTTAATCTTAGTAGATTTGAACGATAAATGACTCTGTTAGATCGTCCAAACAAATAATTGAGTAAATAGTAAAAAAAAAATGAGAATTTTTGAGATTTTATCAAAGTTTTTATGAGAGATAATACATAAATGATTTCTTTGATTTCGTCAACTTTTGCATTTTTTTTGGCACTGTAATTAACATTTGTATTATTACTACATTTTTTTAGCAAACAATAGACATTAGAGCTTTGATAATTTGTACTGGAATTGAAATATGATGACTCAATCCAATTGTGTATCAATTTCTTTGGAATATTATGCACAATGATTAATTTCTTAGAAAAATGGATAATGAGGAGTACATAAAAAAATTTAATTAGGAGAGAATGGTATATTCGGATGGTCTTAATTGACATTTTCTTTTCTAATTTTTTTACATTACTCTTTTATGCAGTTATTTTTTGTGAAAAAAGAATTCTATTCTTTGATTTAATAATGTCAGCAAGATCCGGGTGACCAAAGTGATCAGCAGCTTGATCAACTTAAGGGGGCAGTTTTCGTAGGTTTGTGAAGACATATTTACATCAGGAAATTTTTAGAGTTGAGCCAAACGATTCAGTGGTCTCCCTCTACTTTGAACCAAGACTCTTCTTCGGACTTAGGTTCTCTAACTTCCAGTCTTGAGGTACCTAGATCCACTCGTGTTCGTTTTTCTATTTAGAGGTTTGTATCAACTAAATCTTTATCTACTTCTCATGATTTTTTTTTTGCAATTTCATCCATCTTTTTGAACCTGATACCTTTGCAGGGGCCGTATCTCAACTCTGTTGGCAGCTTTATGCAGAAAGAGATCGTAGCACTAGAATGGTTTACAACTTGGGATTGAGTTTCTCTTCCTCTAGGGAAATAAATAGTTGGCTACAAGTGGATTTATAAAGTAAACAAAAAGTTGATGGAGCAGTTAAGAGTGGAAACATTATTATTACATTTTAAGTTGTCCCCACCGAGGAAAAAGTCTGGCTCTGCCCTTGGCGAGTTCACGATTTAGATCATCAAAATGTACGATTCAAAATTGTACATGAAGTACAAATATAAAATACATATTAATTATTTACGTATATATAAATTATAATTATATATTATTTTAGGTAATAGAAATCGAGTACAAATGTAAGATAAATAGTAACTGACTTAATATATATGGATGTTCTATGATATATAATATTGTATAGCGGTAAAAATGACTTAGATAAACGTTTCAAATTGAATTACGACCTAAAATATTGTATCAAGTAAATCTATCTCCATCGTATCACATACCTAAGAAAGTGTCATACCACATAACCATATCTGTATCCGTTGAAACAAAAATCCCAAGAATAATTGACAACATGTATGTATCGAATACATCTTTCAAACCCTATAAGGCAAAATTAGTGTTTACTTTCGAGATTGCTCTGGATTGATTTTGTCTCAACACAAACGCAAAAACTAAAGACAGACACAGAAAGCAACTCGCTAAACCTCACGATCTTCTATCGTATATCTCCCAACGCCAAAAATTCAGATACAGTGTGGGCTGCAAGGACCTCTGAACTTTTGCTCTTTCTCTCTATCTCTCTTTCTCTCTCAGCCCTCTCTAAAAAACATAATTAATGAATTGATGTTGATTTAGAAAGCCTAGACATCTATATAAAGGCTACGACAGAAACCTTAAGGAGAAATAAGGACTGAACTTCCAATGGGCATATGATTCTCACGTTCAACCCAAAACAAACATTCTACAATTCATTAATAATAAATTAGTCCATTAAAAATTTATTATTGATCTCCTGAGCCTTATCTCAAAATTATAATCGAGTTCTTTATTATATACTTAATAATCTACTCATGTTTAAGATTATAGATGTCCATCAATTAAATAAATTACTGACAATTATATTTAATTAACTTCTTTTATTCCTTGAGACTTTACCACTCAACTTATTTGTCATATTAGATAATTAAATTTATTTGCAGGGTTTGACATGAACAAAACTTATGAATTTCTTCAAGAGGACATCATCAACCTATTTAAATATCAAGATGTGGTTTCTTTTAATAATTAATTTTCACCATATAAATAACATCATCTCCCAATTAACCGAGTTTATTGACTCAATATGAATCTCACTCTTTGACGAATTAAAGTGAAAATTATTATATGTACGTGACGATTAAATATCTCGGGATTAAGAGTACAAACATTCATAATAATCATGAGGTATTTATTATCTTATTGAATCAATAAAAGATAATAACTTCAATATGAGTCTGTTCAATACACAAAGTGTGCTAGTGCAATAATTTGAGATATCAAGCAGTCTTTTACTGTCAAAACAGACTATACGAGAATATTACACTATAATCATACTGATAGTGTATCCAATTCCATCTAAGATTGTGAACATCTATTTATATTATACAAATATCCGATAATCTAATTTTCTGTACATAAGCTGAACTCTGCATACTAAGTTATCTACAATGTAAAATATAAGACATGCATGCATACTATATATCAAATATAATGTAAATATTTTACTCATATAGATTCTTAAAAAAATGAAAAGAACAAACTTTTATTAATTAATAAAATAAGTTTTATTACAAAAAAAATAAGTATAATATCTATTAGTATCACGTACCAAAGTGACTCACATCTAGGTAGCAGCACCGGCATCTGCAAGCTGGGAGAGAGTGTTATGGTGATGGTGGTGCGACTAGTGGCAGTAATGAGGTTGTGTTGGTAGAAAGCAATGGTGGTGATATTGGTTATTAGGGTGGGATCCAACATGTTTAGATCACAAGAGAGGTGGTGGGGGTAACGATGGCATGACGGTGGTGGTTTAGTGGTGGTGACATGGTGGGGCTTAAAGTAGCATTGGGTGGTATGGGATTTTGAATGGGCTGTGGCGGCTGTGGAGCTGCAGCGGTGGGGTTTGACTTTGGGGGTTTTATTTTTTGGTTGAGTATTTTGTTGAAAACGTAATCTGAAAAGTGCCACTCTTTCGCCTTCAACTCAATGTGACGTTGGAATTAGTTTGAAAAATATTAATTTTTGAGAAATGTTCTTATCATTAATTTTATTGTGAGTCCCAAAATTTATTGGACCTACTATTTATTCGATAATTATAATTTTTAAGTTTAATTTTTAAGTACATATAATATTATTTTTAATTTTCACTGATACATGCCAACAATAACTTATAATGACATATCGTACCTTATTCGGGTCGATTTTAATTTTCACCGGATTAGAAAAGTAAAGTTCAACCCATTGGAGTCCTACAACATGTTTTTGACANCGTACCTTATTCGGGTCGATTTTAATTTTCACCGGATTAGAAAAGTAAAGTTCAACCCATTGGAGTCCTACAACATGTTTTTGACAGTTCTAATTGGACAAACCTGTTCTTGAGGGAACACTTTTAGGTCTCTCTAAAACGCCACATTCGCGAATTTCTGACAGTTCTGGCTATGTTCAGACAATTTTTTGTGTCGATCATCTCTTGCAACCTTTTTAAATAGCCAAAAAAGAAAAAGAAGTATGAAACATGACAATGGTTTGCTTTCCTACAGTCAGCAAATCAAATGAAAGTTGGCGAGTTGCAGCTCAACTGCCCTCTCATCCAGGTCACCTCTGTCCCATCTATTTTTTTCACCCAAAAATAGAGACCAGCAGATTACCTATTACTTCAACTTTTTCTGATGACATTTTTCACAAAACAACGCAAACTTTATTTAGTATAATTATACCTTTTTCTTTTATACGGATACATGTGGGTTGATCTTCATCCTCCTGTGCCCCCATAAGTAATCAAATCACATGAATACATCAAAGTTATTAGTTAGGTATGCCAATGGAATCCAACTTTTTGTAATATAGGTAATGCTACATCTATATATAATTTGCCTAAATGTGACCCTTCTCAGTTACGAGTGTTCATTTTACAACAGCTACTCTAATGGCACTCTCAGCTACCATTAAGCACTGGCTTTTAGCTTCAGCACTAATCTACATCCTTGTATTCGCCTGCGAATCAGGTATATTTATGCACCAAAGAAACAGCAAATTCGTTTTTTGTATAAATTGTGTTCTTGATTCGAAAAATGATATTTTTCGTCGTAATTGTTGACAGGGAAGGCAGATGAATATCTGCCTGGAACTGGAGTTACAGGAGGAACTGGAGTTACAAGAGGAACTGGAGTTGGAGGTCTGCCTCAAACAGGAGCATCAGGATCAGGAGCAGGACGTCTCCCTCAAACCGGTGCGGCAGGGGGTGATCCAGCTTCTATTGTAACAGAAGCCCTGTTATGTTTCAGTCAGAAGTATGTAAGTAATTAGTTTCAACTATGCATGCATGTATTACATTGATGGTTCAAAGAATTGGTCGATGCTGATATGATTCGGTTCTTGACTTCTTTCTATTATGATACCATTCTATGTTCAATAGTGTGAATTGTGATTTTTGCTTGACTTGTAGTTGATTGGAGACATCTCGTTTAACTCAACCAAGTCATAACTATTGTTTCATTACTCTGTTTCGTGATGTCGTAACCTGACTTAAATATAATACCTCGTCATGTCCAACTTCTTTTGTGTGCATTGATCACCCTATACCCAATCATGACGCCGCAACCGAAACATTTCAATGCCCTGCAAATTGTCAATACCACGACCATGACTACATTTTAATTTTATTGTTGTAGCCCTTGTAGTTAATCTACAGGGAAATTTCTTGATAACAGTTCCTTATACTAAATAGAAATTCATGAAATGGTGCTGGGTTTTACTGGCCTTCGAAGTATNTTGTTGTAGCCCTTGTAGTTAATCTACAGGGAAATTTCTTGATAACAGTTCCTTATACTAAATAGAAATTCATGAAATGGTGCTGGGTTTTACTGGCCTTCGAAGTATATGCAAACTATAACACACCAATGCCTATACATTAGTCTTCAGACCTTTGTTTTTTCTATTCTTACTTATCTGNATTGTTGTAGCCCTTGTAGTTAATCTACAGGGAAATTTCTTGATAACAGTTCCTTAAACTAAATAGAAATTCATGAAATGGTGCTGGGTTTTACTGGCCTTAGAAGTATATGCAAACTATAACACACCAATGCCTATACATTAGTCTTCAGACCTTTGTTTTTCCTATTCTTACTTATCGGNGCCTTCGAAGTATATGCAAACTATAACACACCAATGCCTATACATTAGTCTTCAGACCTTTGTTTTTTCTATTCTTACTTATCTGAGACAAATCAACGGATCACAACTTAACAACATAAAAAAAAGAACAAAAAAATCAATATAATCCCATGTTTTGAAAGATTTGATTAATATTATCTGTCTTCTCATTCAAACAAAAACAGATTTACAGTAGCTGCAGTGAAGCCTATAGATTAACCGAGAGTGGAAATCTCAACGTGCCACCTGAATATGTCGATCAATATTGCAACGGGCAGTGCGTGACGGAGACACACCTTGTGCTCAACTGCTTAGAGAACATATTATCTCACTTTGTATTCTACAACAAGGCTACAATAGTAGATGTGAGAGAGACAATCAAGGAAGGATGTAGCCATGGTCCTCAAAGAGGTAACTTTGGGTCCCTCTTGTGTGTTTTGAGTTCCTNCACTTTGTATTCTACAACAAGGCTACAATAGTAGATGTGAGAGAGACAATCAAGGAAGGATGTAGCCATGGTCCTCAAAGAGGTAACTTTGGGTCCCTCTTGTGTGTCCTTTGTAACATCACATTGTTTTGATCATTGAGGATTATGCTAATTTGATGTGTGTTGCACAGGTGACTTCAATGTAGCTGAGCATATTGAGGCTGAAAACAGCAGTTCACATAAGGCTTCGAACCCCGTCTTATTTTGGCTTGTCCTTATAACTGTCGAGCTTAGTTTCTTCCTCTAACACACACACACACAATTGATGTCGATTACTATGGTTAATGTGATTTGGGCTTACTCAATCACGGCTTAATGGGTATAGGGACTAAGATACATTTAAGAGTGGGTTGCTAGCACTGGATTGTATGAAAATCATGTGTATGCTTCTTCTTACTTCTGAAGATGATTAAATAAGAATATGGTTAAAGCACCAGCTTTGCGAAGTCACTGCCTTATGAAGCTGTAACTGAACAGGCCAACATAGTAAAACACCCATAATCAAATGATATAGGTCTCATATAACAAAAGAAATTAAGAAAAAAAAAATGTGACAACCCAATCCCACATCACTTGGTGAGGTGGGTATGAAGTGGTACAAGTATGAGCTTTTGACTTTCATTATATAACACGTTCTAACACAACCGGGCTTAGTCTAAAATGGATAATATTGTACAATGTGGTTCCAGAAAGTTACAAAGAGTATGGGTGGTTAGCACTTTGGTTATGTGGTCAATTCTGCAGCCTAGAAGAGCATTTGAGGATCTATGGGAGACTGCTTGACAGAGAAATCAAGTAATTATTCATTATGACTGTTACCATCATGATTTAGATAAAACAAGGCACTTAATTTTCCAATTAGTTGCATTTTTAAGGGCAGGTTTACACAGATTTACGGTAAAGAAATCCGAAATCCAACTTCAATTATTGCAAATGCCGATTACAAGCTTAAAGATTGCTCTTACATAGCAACTCAAGTAGAGGTGATGGAAGAGTAAAATCGAAATCCAAAAAGACAAGTCTCCAAGAATGAGCAAATGTGGAGGCTGCCCGGTAATGGAGGTGAGGAAAACTTACAATCAAGCTTTTAAAATGGCAAGATATCAGCAAACACTTCATCAAGTAAAGAATTAAGTATCCGATCCTCAATCTCCACCCCTAGTTCCAATGCTTAAACACTTGTCTACGACCTCATCTACCATACAGTCCTGGCAGTCAAGCTGTTCAAGTGGCAAGATATCAGCAACCACTTCATCAAGCAAAGAATTAAGTGTCTGGCCCTCAATCTCCACTCCGAGTTCAAACACTTCAACCTCAAAGTCGAGCCATCTTCCATACAGGCTGCTCATACCCTTCTCCACAACCTCATCCACATGCAGTCCTGGCAGTTGAGCAATTAAAGTAGCAAGATCTCAGCAACCACTCCATCAAGCAAAGAATTAAGCATCCAACCCTCGATCTCCACTCCAAGTTCATATGCTTCAACCTCAAAGTGGAGCCATCTTCCTTACTCTGGCTGCTCATGCCCTTGTCTACAACCACGGAGTCCTTGAAGTTAAGCTGTTCAGTGGCAAGATATCAGCAACCACTTCATTAAGCAAATAATTAAGTATCTGACCTTCAATCTCCACTCCGAGTTCAAATGCTTCAACCTCAAAGTCAAGCCATCTTCCATAGTGGCTGCTCATGTCCTTGTCTACAAGCTCATCTACCATACAGTTCCCCATGCCTTCCCACCATGAAATCTCCTTGTACACTTCTTCTGCCAATTTCTCCTTTCTTCTCACCACTGACAACCCTTTTGCCTGTGTCCTCCATCCGCCACCTACATACCGCCCGCATCTTATGTCCAGGCACTCGCTCACACAATCAAATAAAACCTTGCGCCTTAGCTTTGGCATGTTCCCATTGCTGTCCAACACCACTTTTCGCCTTTCCAAGTGATGAAAAAGATGAGGGTTAACGATCTCACGAGCCCGACCCAATGCAAAATCCGTAAATATCAACGCCACACTGGATAATATCTCCTTCACATATTCCAGCTCCCACTTGATTGATCCCAGGGAATCTTTCACAGGAAAGACTGTCGCATGCCTTCCAGCCACGGCTAGGGCAGGGACGGAAGAAGCTGAGTCTGATAACTCTGAATCAGCTTTGATTAAGTGGAACTTTCTTGAAGAACTCAAATCAACCACCTCCTGAGCTTGGACAGATGTACACTGCCTGCTACCTGGATTTTATTGAGCATATGCAAGTGCTTCTGTTTAATGATAATTTCTTCATAAAAGCAAAAAATTTAAATTAAAACATAGCTGCACGGCTCTTACCTTCTGTACTGGTTGTGTCTGCAGTATCTGAGGAGTTGCAACTTTCTGCATAAAAAGAACATTCAAGAACAGATATTGGACTCGGGTATCGAGACTCGAGCAACTTTCTGGCATTGCTATCCTTGCTGCTAGACTCTTCAAATTCTTCAACTCCCTGAGTTGTTATGGGAAAATTAAGTAAATTACCCAGAGAAAAAGAAAAAGGGGGGGGGGGGGGG